AACACCCAGAGGCTGAGCAAGTGGCTGCTAGGACCCAGGACCTGCAAGAGAAATACGACAATCTTAAGAAATTGTCGGATGCGTACAAAGGTCAGCTGGACCTGTCACTACAGGCTAAACAGGTTTGTCTGGTTTCTGGCTCGCTCTATGTGAAGATCGAAAGATATCGGTCAAACGCTTAAAAAATAAGACTTTGTTTGTGTGATATCTCTGAGTTAACCCATTTGTTAAAATTATGTTTTACGTTGGATCGAACAGTTATGTCTCTTAATTACTGTTTGGATATATGTAATTTTAGATCCTCGAAGCACTTTTTCAAATGTCTCTAAGAAACTTTAAGCTTCTGGCGGTCATTCTGTGGTCTTCGACGGATAATGATAATACGTCCAGTGTTTTTATCCGTCCACGATAGTAGACATTGTCGAAGTCCTATAGTTTTTAAAAAAACGTTTTTTTTTACACGAGAAGCTTTTATACTCGTTGTTTCTTATGAATCGTCGCAACGGATTTTCCATGACTAAGAAATGTACCGCCGCACGAAGGAAAAATGAACGAATCTGTTGTTTTCTCTTACAGTATTACTACGATGCAGCAGAAGCTGAATCGTGGATGAGCGAACAAGAATTGAACATGATGGGTGACGAACGTGGAAAAGACGAAGCAAGCGCCAATGCCATGCTCAAGAAACACGAGACTTTGGAGGCAGCCATTGCTGATTATTCCGAGACAGTCAATGAATTAGGTGACACAGCTAATGCTCTTGTGGAGAGCGAGCATCCCGAGAGGTAATGAAAACACGTTACTTTTTGTCGAATTTACGATCTTTTTGTTCGTTGTGACTAAAAGTAATCATAGGCTGTAACGGTGAGAGAATGAACAACCTAAGACATGAATAAAGGGGGCAAGTTTCTAAAGAAACTGTGGTGCTGCGTCGTTGGGAGAGTATAGCAGGTAATTTAGTGTCAACAACTGAGTTGAAAACGTAAATTGGCCACCTTAAAGAGTAAAAAAGCTGACGTTTCGAGCTTTAGCCCTAAATTAGCAATAAATCCGCTGATATTCTAAATTCACTACATTTAGTGTTAACTCTGAATTACCTGTAACCTAACGCATAGTTGGGTATGTTAAGTTGACTCTCTCGTATCTATTGAGTTACCAAAACGGAGTGCTATTCAAGTCCAGTTCCAAAGATTTAGTAAGCGGTAGAATACACAAATGAGTGGACCAATAAGTCAACTTGTGAATAAAGTGATGAACCAAAGAATTTTTCTAGTTTGTTATTAGAAGATCAGCGAAAGAACGAACACAAAATGGCACGAAAAAGTGGAAGGCGGGATGATTCACAAAAACATCATTTCAAATTATTAAAAATGCTCACAGTAGTTTCATTGGAGGACTTGTAGTACGTTACTGTTTTGTTTATGATTGCCGTTCGTAATTTCCACTAAATCGCCTCTCTGATAATGTTCATCATAGTGAGGCAGTCAAGAAACGTCAAGGTCAGATCGAAAAATTGTACGAAGGATTGAAGGACCTAGCAGAGGAACGCCGAGGGAAACTGGACGAGACTCTTAAACTTTATCAGCTGCAGGGAGAAATTGATGATCTGGAACACTGGATCGCTCAGAAGGAAGTGGTAGCTGGATCGCAGGACATTGGACAAGATCTTGCCCAAGTAGAGGTACAATTCGTTGTTTCATTCCTTCACATGTTCTGTTTGTTTCTATATTTTTATAGGAAGTTTGCGTTTTATGACACAATAGTAAGGGTTTCTTTTAGTTAAAGGCCTATCGAAGAAACCCGTGCTTAGAATTTTGGAACATTCAAACTCCAAGTAGTCCGAAATAATTTTCGGATTTGATGAAAGGGGCAATGAGAAATATGTGGAATTATTATCGGTTTGAGATAGTAAACACATAATCAGCTCCATGCCATTTGGAATCTCATCTATTTTGAACAAAGTCTGTGGAATATAATCTTCAGTAGTTTTTTTTTTAGATACAACGTCTCAAATGTTATCTTCTGTTTTTGCTTGTGTCACTTAATTTTTCAGATATCTTTTTGTCCTTATTCATAGAATCAGCTCCAAGCTCAGAACTTTATTTTGTAGCTTTTGTCGTGAAAATTCTCGTAGGTAATTCTCTTTGTTCATTTGTTATCTCTCAACAGTTGCTTATCGAGAAATTCCGCGAGTTCGCGCGTGATACTACGAACACTGGCACCGAGCGCGTGGCTGCCACGAATGCTGTCTGTGATCAGCTGATTGGAACAGGTCACACTGACGCTGCTACGATAGCGGAGTGGAAAGATCAGATCAACGAGTCATGGGCCGATCTTTTGGAACTCATTGAAACGAGGACAAAGGTCAGTTAATATTGTCTGTTGAAGCGCTTCTCGGGTAAATGTTAAATTCACACGGAGCCCACGAGAACCTGAAAAGAAACCACGTTAGACCGTGGTGCGGGAAACCGCTAGTGACTCGTAAGTTGGGAATAAGCTTTTGCGTTTGCTCTTTTAAGAAGTTTTTCTTATTCTTTACCGAAGCATAACCAATGAAGTCCAGAATTACTTTTAAACCGCAGATGGAAATTTCTCAACTGTAGTTTTTGAAGTAACAACTGTTGCGTTGCTTATCTAACAATGTTGCCTTCGGTTGCTTAATTTTCTCAGATGTTAGAAGCTGCCCGTGAATTGCATAAATTCTTCTACGAGGCCAAAGAAGTATTAGCCATGATCCAGGAGAAAGAAAACCTTCTCACAGACGACCTTGGTCGGGATTTGAATAGCTTACATCAACTGCAAGTTGTGCACCAAGGATTCGAAGCAGATTTGGCACCACTCGGCAATCAGGTATGCTTTTCCCGCTCTCTTGCTGGAATAGCGTTTACCATTTACACGCCAATGCCGTTTTTCGGATTTGAAAGCAAAGGGAGAGTATTCCCTGCGCGCGGCGTAGGCCAGCGGCGGCTTTAAACTCGATGTTGATTACACCACAAGCTTCCAGAAAACGATACAAGCCTCACTCTCATGAAAACCATAACAAATACAGAGGCGCGCAATGCCTTTTGGCCAATACTGGGTTTCTTGGAGAGTGATGGTAGGCCTTCTGCATTCGTTTGGAATGTCAATTTGAACTTTAATTTCCGCTCAGACTTCCTCATTATGATACTCACACCACAATTGCTGTGAAATTTCAGTGTTGCGGTTGCAGTAATTTTTCCGCTGTTTTCTTTGCAAATGCGCATAGTCAGCTCATTCCCACCATTTTGTGAACGAGTTCTAATTATTGTTTTCATTACCAGGTCGTCGCGGTCCAGGAGGAAGCCAGTCGCCTCCAGGGCTCTTATGCCGGTGACAAAGCTAGAGAAATCCAAGACAAAGAGGACGAAGTGTTAGACGCATGGAAGCGTCTCAACTGGCGTGTAAAACAGCGCACTGAGCGCCTTCATGACGCTGATGACTTATACCGATTCTTACTGGCTGTTCAAGACCAGATGCTGTGGATGAACGACATGCTGAAGCAAATTTTAACCTATGAGAAAGCGAAGTGAGTATTCCCACCTTTTGTTAAGAGAGCGACATCGCGTTAATAGAGTCGTTTTATTAGAGGAAACAGTAATTCACAATACTTTCATAAGAATCGCCTATAGATACAATGCAATTAAATTTATCGTTTGGAAATGAGGCTAAATACCTACAAAGAAGAGAGATTGCAAAAGATGGAGAGGACTGCGAATAACTAACTCGAAAAATGTCGCGCAACTTTCAAGACGAATAAACTATGGCATATTCCCTCAAAACAGAAAGAATAATTGTAAATTATGCTAGAAAAACACCACAGAGGAGTCAGATGACTAACCCTTTAACTCCCAAGATCTCATTAGTAATTCTCTTTACTGTCTGACATACAGTTCTTATGATGTCAATTTGGAGAATTTGGTATTGGATCAACTATAATCTCTAACTGATATTTTACTTTAATCTCATCACTTATATGCTTGATATTATATTGATATGGTAAGGAGAAATTCTCTCTTGGTCACTCATGGGAGTTTAAGGCTTAACCGCGAAGTATAGCAATGGAGAAGAATGACACTGTACGAGCTCTGTTGACCTAAAACCTTCCGGGAACGAAAATAATTATGGTATGTCTTACCTTATGTTACTTTAGGGATGTTCCTGGAGTCGAGGTCTTGATGGAACAACATCAAACCAGGAAAGTTGAAATTGATGCACGCGAAGACAGTTTCCAGAATGTTGTGAAGATGGGAAAAGACTTGATCGCCCGAAACCATTACGCTACTCCTGAGGTAAAAAAATGATGTCTTCTTTTCAGCTTTCACTCCCATCCTTTCACACTTTAGGCGAAAGTCAGAAGAGAGTGCAAAATGGTTAAAGCTAGTGATAAAACCCGAATAACGACCGAATACAGCGAATAATGGCGAATAGTGACGAATAGTGGCGAATGGTGACGAATAGTAAAAATTAATTAATTAGTAATAAAATAAAAATAGAACTAGTAAAGTGTCCTATATGTCGTTATTCGGGTTTTATCACTAGCCAAATAGTTAAGCAGGATCATGTTTGCCACAGGTTAGAAAAAGAAAAGGAACAAGAAATTTCTTTAAGTTAGGGAGTCTGGCGAAAGTCAGGGAAAATGAACATTTTTGATAGAGGCTATGGAAAAGTAAAATTTCAAGCAAATATGAAGTGATTCTTCTTGTCCTGGCCCTCTACATGGTGACGCTTTCCTTTTTGTGATGTTAATGTTAGTCATGTTCATAGTTTAGTACATTTGACAGATTCCTGACCGGCATTATTGTAATTGAGGCTTCCTTTGTGTGGTGCGTTACCAAAATAAAGTTACATATATGTTTGAAATAACAAACATGAAAACAATTTTAAATTTCTCCACTATTCAGATTAATGAGAAGCTGGATATGTTGAACCGACACAAAGATGAATTGTCACTCGAGTGGGACAAGAGATGGGAACATCTTCAACTAGGTAACGGCGCCTTCCACTTCCATCTTTTCTCCTTTTTCCCATTTAATCTTTTGTGTCACTTTACATAGCTTTCATTAATGTAGCTTATGACCTCTTTCGCGTTCAAAAAATGATAGAAGACAAACATACAAACAAACAAGCAGAGAAACAATAAAGTTATTTCCGTAAAGCCGTGGCCCTAACAGGTTATTCATTTATGGTTGACAGTCCACGAAGTCATGCAGTTTGCACGTGATGCTCACATGGCGGAAGGATGGATGATCGCTCAGGAACCATACCTGAAAAACGAGAACCTTGGGGTAGGTATTCTCTCTCCGACCGTAAGTTTACGGAAATAACCTAGTTAGTTACGAAAGTTATTTTACATTTCCGAACACTTTTTGTAACTCATGGTTTTCCTTTATATTTGTTTTTAGAGCGATCTCAACGAAGTCGAACAGCTGCTGGAGAAACACAGCAACTTCGAGAAACTCGTCAATACTCAAGAAGAAAGATTCCAGGCTCTTGAGCGCCTAACGACGGTAGGTTTTTAGACTATGATACGCTTACAGCATCATCTCATATCTTAATTGCGCTTCAAGGAGACTTCCTGTGTGTTTTCTATGACCAGGGATTTCAATACGTTTTCCCACAAGCGGCTTGGATTACAAAATTCTCATTTCTTTAACAGGGAAGAAGTTTTTTTTTCCGGTAGTTTCTTGGAACGTAACAACTAAATGCAATATGTTCTATTATCTTTTATCAGTACGAGCTCCGTGAAGGAAAGCGTCGCAAAATGGAACAAGAACGCCGTGAACGAGAAGAACGAGAAAGAAAAGAGAGAGAAGAAAAAGAACGGCAGGAACAACTGGAGAGAATCCGCAGACAGGAGGAAGAAGAGCTCCGACGACGAGAAGAGGAAGAAGCACGCAGAAGAAGTGAGCAAAGGGAAGCTGAACAGAGAGCGAGGGAGGAGGCTGTCGTTGTCGCAGAAGCTGAAGGGGTAAGTTAGAAGAGGCAATCTCCCTTCCGCGCAGTGTCTTGAAAAGGGGTCGCTATATTGATTATAGATTACGACGAAAAAGGATTGTAAATCGGAACGGTAAAGGTAAACGGTCGGCGAGATGAGCGAGCCAGGCGCGAACCGCTTTTCCTCTACAATCCTTCAATTCACGCTTGGGTTAACGTCCACAGCCCGCTTACCTTAATGTGCGCCCTTCCTGTTTAATCCCGCACCCCAAAGTGTGAGTCTGTTTGCTGTCTATTATCGCCGTGACGTAACCCTTCCTTTAGTATTTCAAAGCATATGGTTTAACACGAATTCGAAAAGGGATTCTTTTCCCCCTCTTGGGGAGGGGGGGGGGGAGGAGAAGGTAGTTCGTGGTATAGTCACACTATATTCATATGGAGAATGTAATGATAAGTAAATAACTATTATAGTGATATCTCCTTCGACAGGACACCTTACTCGCTTAGTTCCTCTCTCCAACCCGGATTGTAAACGAGTTCTTGCTAACTATTAGTGAAACTTGACAAATGCTAAAGGGGAGGGAAGGGGGGATTGGCGATGGAATGCTGTTCCCTAAGGTGGAATTAGCGAAGAGCGATACATAATCACTGTATGCTGTGGAGTTCAGGAAAAGTAGCAACGGTTTGGGTTTCTCAATTCGCCTACTGACTTAGCTGCCTCAACTGCCATCGTCATGAGAAACATGTGTACCTTTAAAAATTATGTATAAAATTTTTCCTTATCTTGATCTGTCAAGGTCGAAGGCGCACCAGATGAAAAAGAAACAGACGAGAGCGTTACAGACGGTAAAATGGAAGGCTATCTGTATCGTAAGCCAACAATGGATGCTCCCAACAGAAAGGCACCAATCAGGTAAGCATATCCGAAGAGTTTCCGATAATTCCCGATAGTTTCTGGCGGTAAACGATGTGAAATTGATTGAAGCATTCTCTAGTATGGTTTGACTGCACGAGGTGTAGGATCCAGTTTCCCACTGTTATGCTCAAAGAATGAATAAAAAGAACAACAACGTTATAAAACCTTAATTCGGCAAAATTCTTGTCAAATTTAATTATTTTCTCTTTGAAAACTGATTAAAAAAATTCATCAATCGTTTATTTTTTTTCTGTTCTGTTTTTTCCGCTAGGCAATGGAAGCAATTCTATGTTGTTTTACAAGACATGTCTCTTCATTTCTACAAAGATCAGAAAACGGCACGCGTGGTAAGAACTTTCATTAGATCGATTATGGGAAATATATAAGATTTTGCGCTCGGGTGTCGAATCAGTAAATAGTTATCTTCGTTTTGTCAGAAAATAAATCCTGCTGTAACCAGTTCTCTCAACTTTTTTGTGGTACTTGTAAACATCAGAAGATAACTCACTAAAGAAACCATATGTCTTTTTTCACTTATCTTTTAATTTAGATATTGCAACCAATTTATTTATTTACTTTTATGTCTGTGTAAGCGGGTAGGTAACCCAAAGCGAATCTTGTGTTCTCATTGGCTGCTCGATCGAGGACCATAGTGTCAATTCAGGAACATTCGCTTTGATCCCGCATAGACAAACCTGTTTTGTTCAGTCTTTCGTCAATAAAACGTGTCTTTTATTGTATCTGTTTGTATCCTCAATAGATTACTAGTGGTTGGTTTCAATTTTTCTTTTTTTTGGCGTTTTTATGTTCGTTGACATCTTTGTCCCAATTGTCTCAATGGACAGAGACGTGCAGACAATTTGACCTTTCCCTTAGTAAATAATGCATACATATTAACCTGTTTATGCAATAACACTTCGAATTTGCTTTACTTGTTAGGATCACGAGGCAGCCCATTCTTTGACTACAGAGGAAGGTTTTGTGGAAAAAGCCGTTGATTACACCAAGAGAAAGAACGTGTTCAGATTCAGGTACCTTTTTCTGCATCTTCTATCAGTCGCACTCAGAGGAAAAAAGTAAAACGCTTTTTTTTGTTTTCAACAGCGGTGCCTCTTAAAAGGAAGCACACGTTGTTTCATTCGCAAATGTGTCGCTATTTTAGACGTTGATTGTTACCCAATGTTTGACTCGCTTCTTCCTTTTATTTCACAGATCCAGTGCTGGTCAAGAATTCCTTTTCCAAGCTAAAGATGAGGTGAGCAATGAAAGAAATGTCTCTTAGTCTTTTCAAAATCGGTGAAAAGTAGAGTAACTTATCAAGTAATCGCAACTTTGTTAGCTCAAGTTTAAAGCGGTGTCGTCTGATATTTGGCACACGCACCAATTGTGAACTGCTTGGTAGTTTTCTCTATTATATATACATAAATTTTTTTTTTTTCGTTTGATCGCCATCAAACTTTGTCAGAAAGAGTGACATTTTCCATGGTCTTCTATTTTCGTCCGAGCCTCGAAAATTTTTGCCTAACCTTTACAACCCAAACATCAGTACGCGTATTCTCCAAACTGTTCCGTCTTCATTTCTTATGGTTCTGACAAGGAGAGTAACTTAGGCAATCGAGAGCTACAAAATGAGTTAAAGTGGTGCCCTTAAACTTTATTCCCATGACATCTACGTATCATTCAGGGGTGATACAATGGGTAGAAATTAGACGCTAGTCACCCTTTATGCTGATTGTTTTAGCTCTCTTTCTGCTCTTTAACCGTTGACATAAATTTTCTCTCCTTACCCTGCCCGTCTCAGGAGGACATGAAACTGTGGATTAAACACATTCAGGAGAATATCAGCGGAGAGGCTGCCGGGAAAGATGCATCACCTGGCAAGAAAACTGACAAGGGCAAAGGTGGAAGCGGCATTTTTGGCAAACGAAGAAGCAAAAACTTAGATAAGGAGAAAGAGGAGAAGAAATAAAAGAAGATGAAACGAAAAGTTATGAATATCTGTGAAACAGTTAATCGCTTTGTTTAGGAATTTCATTTTGTAATGGAGCGTTTCAGACGAATTATTCTTTGGCTTTCTTGAAGGAATGTTGTTTAAACTGGATAGACCTGTTTGTAAAGTTTATTGTGTGTAAGTGTTTTCTTGCTAAGCAAAAACGAATTCTAGTGTGAACTGAGACGGTTTTAGTTTTCAAAAGGATTTTGTGCCTCTTAGAACAAAAACCGAAAGAAGCTTTTTACGCGAACTTCGCTAGATAGCGTCAGAGGTAAAGATGGACGTTAAGACCTTTGTCTTACAAGGGAGGTGATTAAAATCAGACGAGCGACACAGAAGAATTGTGAATCACGAGAATGGAAAGGTTATGTTGTTGTAAGTTTAATAGTCAGCATTCATTAGTTCAACATACATATTTTTAGGTGTGCTTTATTTTGAACAAATACCTTTGGAAGGGAGAGGAAAAACTTTTAAGTGGTATATAGATATTTTCTTTTTTTTTTTTTCCTTTTTTTTTTCTCTTAATTGTAATTAACTTACATTTTGTTAAGTCATCAAATACGAGTTTAAGGAATGGGTTTAGTTGAAAAACTTCAAACTTTGATGCTTAATTTCTCTGTTACATTTTCTTGTTGAGATACGTTTCGCTAAAACGGTGAATGTAGATGAAAACGTTACACTGGTTCAAGGAAGGAATTATCCGCGAAAATATAATCTTGATAACATTGCAGGTGATCAGATAATAAGTGTGAACATCCTACTTTTTTTCTCTTGATTCACCTTGAATTGTGTAGTACAATATTGCGAACAGCGCTTAGCTGGTCAATAAAGTTAAATAATGCTAACTGATGTCTCTTGCTGTTAAAGCACACTGATCACGGGATAGTGTCTGGTCGGCCTGTGAAAGGTGTACGTTTTGTGAGAACGAGCTATAGGAAATAAATTGGGGGAAAAACCTCCTTGTCTCCCCTCTACTTTTTTATTCGTCGCCTCTAAACAAGATCCTTAAACAGGATAGATACAACTTGTTGGATGGTATAGCATATATTTCGAGCGGGCGTTTGCTCATTGCACGTTTTTTTCCTAGCCCCGTATTATGCCATTTTCTTGTACTTCGGCTTCTAGTTTTCGAAATACTCCCTACAACCTTGAATGAGAACCGCAAAAGCAGCGGGCAAAAGAAGAACACAAATCAAATGGAATCATTAGATTTGCTTAAAAGTTAGTTGCTCAAACAGACAAGCCTTGAAACCGGGAAGAAAATCAAAGCTTCGATGGCACATTGGGGCCACTCCGCTTTGCGATCATATTTTCGCCCTGTTCTGTATTAGGAAACGACTTCTGTTTGTCCTATGGTGAACTCAGCTCAACGCCGTGAAAGTTTGTAGCAGCAGCAAGTTCATGCTCTGGGCGATTACGATTTCTAAGGGAATCAGTAACTCTGTTGTACTATTATGCATATGAAAACTTTAGTAAGTAAGCTGAGTCAAGTCCACCAACAGAGTTTACAGCTTACTTGTACTAGCTCATTCAGCCAGATTACAATGGCTCGGGAAGCAAACAACGAAACTGTATTGCTTCTAGACACTCTTTTCAGACCCGACGGAGGCATGGGTAACATTTCATAATTAGCTAATATAAACAGGTAAAGATATGTACATCAGTCTACAAGGCAGCGTAACTGGAGTTACAAAGAGAGATCTTTGAAGCCTCTAACCCTTAGGAGCGACTGGGATCTAAGTTCTCCATACAGCAACTCTGCTGTGCAAAATATTAAAGTCACGAGAAGAAGTAAAATGAACGCAAATTAAGGAAGCTCGTAATTGTCAAGCAAATTCAAGATATCATTTTAAGGAAAATGTGTGAGGTGCATTATGGAAAATATACTGATAATGATTCAAAGGTGTAAAGGGTTTGGTGGAGAAGAGAGATTGCTTTAGGAAGTGGGAAGCTGCCCTCATTAATCTTATTATAAGGAAATTAGATCAAATATAACCTACTGGAAAGACAATTGTCACAGC